TCAATGCCCAAGGGCTCTTCAGTCCACTTGTGAATGCTACCAGTCCTGGGACTCTCCTTTCAGGGCAGCAGGCTCCCTTTTAGGCCAAGGTAGGTCTAGAAATACTGCCCAAGAGTCAAGGCCTAGAATCAGGGACCTTAAGAGCCCTCTTGGTGCTCTATCCCACTATGGCTGAGCTGGTACCTAAGGTGCAAGACAAAGTCCCCTTTGGTTTTCCCCCTGCTTTTCTCAAACAGAAAGAGTCTTTTACCATTGCCACCACAGCTGGGAATGCGCTGGCTCTCACCTGAAGCCTGCACATCTCAGAGTCTCATCCAAGACCCATGGCATACTCCCTGGGTATCACTCTGGTGGTTATTTAGGGCCCATGGGCTCTTTAGTCAGAAGGTGATGAATCCTGCAATGACTGGGTCCTTCCCTTCAAGGCAGTAGGTTTCCTCCTGGCCCAGGGTGCATCTAGAAATGTCGTCTGGGATCTAGTGTCTGGAATGGGAGCCTCAGGACTCTGCCCAGTGTCCTATCCTACTGTGACTCACCTGCTATCCAATCTGTAAGACAAAGTCCTCTTTACTCTTCCTCTTCTCTCCTCAAGCACCGCAAAGAGAGGGAAGGAGTCTCTCCTGGGCTGTAAGCTGTGTTGCCTAGGTTGGGGGAGGGGTGACACAAGGACTGTCTTAGCTGTCCTGGCTGGCATGCCACCAGATTGCTTGCTCATTCAGTCCACTGGCCCTAAGCATAGCACAGCACAGCACCAGTACCCACCCAGGAATTGCAGTCCTTATGGCCTACACTGCCTTTCAAGTTTATTTAGCAACCCAGAGCACTTTGGCCCACAGTGGTAGGGCATGCTGGAATTCAGGTTTCAATTGCTAGGATGGGTGATTCCTCTCTGGGTAGGGCTAGTCTAAATGCTCCCTCCATGTCTTGTCAACTGAGATCTGCCTGGTGTTGCTTTCTGCTGTAACAGGGCAGCACTGAGTTCCAATAAAAAGTCCCATAATCGCTGTGCTCTCCCTCCCTCAAATGCATAGATTCTCTCTCCACACCATGCTGCCACTGCCAGGACATAGGGGAAGGGTGGCATTGGTGATTCAAGAGAGTCTTTCCTACCCTGTTCAGTGCTTTTATCAGTGATATAATGTTAAAACCAGGTACTGTGATTGCTCACCTGATTTTTGGATTTTATGAAGGTGCTTTTTTGTGTGAGTAGTTGCTTAACTTGGTGTTCCTGCAGTGAGAACATCTGGTGAAGGCTTCTATTTAACTATATTCCTCTGCGTCCACTTTACTCCTCCCCTGTCTTTTGAACATTCATATACAACTAGGTATTTAATATTTTTGCTACACTTTATACATTATTTTTATGCATGTTTACTAGGAAAAGTTTATATTAATAAGCTCAGTCCACCATGTTATGGAAACCAAACTGTATAAATTACATTAATAAAAACAGCACTAATTTTTAAAACTCAGACATAACAGCATAAATATTATAATCAAAGTAACAAATTACGGAAATAGCAGATTCTTCTGAATAATCTATCTATGAGAAATTAGGGAAAATGTTATCCTAGTAATCAGACTTCTCATGAAATTATTAAAATTAATACCTAAATCACTTACCGATAGTATTTTGAAAGTATCTTTTGCAATTTTTTTACTGATTTTTATTACAAAATAATTTCTTTAACTTCTCAATCTTTGTTTTCACAAATGTAACTGCCATCAAGCTCTACCTTTCCCCTTATAGCTAGAGCCTGAGAAATAGAAATCAATCCTCAGAAGTGTGGGACTGTCTGGCCCGGGTTGCTATGGGAGTTGCAAGACGGTGGGCCAGGTCCCTATGCTGACTCTGGGGCTAGACCAAATCAACATTTGCTCCTACTATTGCTTCTTGGTTACGAATAGGATTGCCTGCTTTTTACCCCTTTTTAGAGACCAGTGGAAATGCCTAAAAAGATGTATGCGAGTAAGGATCATCAAAGAAACAAGTATGAGTAACTCTCAAGCTGCACAATCAGAGGCTGAATAATTGGTACATGAAATACTATTTCTTATTCCAGGCAACATATTATGCAGTGAAGATTGTCAAATGCCAAAAATGTTAGTGATGGCAACCTCAGAAGCACTTGTGGAGACTTATCCAATATGCACCATTTCTCCAATATGCACTCTTAATCCACTTTTGATAATAAAGTCCTGAAGTATCTAAAATGCAAGGATTGGGATATCTGTGATTTTCAAACTATGACCTGTGGAGCCCTGGGGCATTTGGGGAAGAAATCTCAGAGGCTGTTGTGGGAGTGGTTCCAATGCTCACCATGCCCTCCTTTCAACCTAATGGCTTCACAGATTTAAAGTTAATACTTTTCACAAACCAGTCCACTTAGGGCTTTACCATTGAAAAAAAAAGTTTAACCTTACAATGATAGAAATCAAATTTTAGAAATTTCAGTCTTCTACCAAAAATCTGCAGGGAATATAAAGAAACAATATTAACAACACTTAGTAAAAATATTGTGTGGCCTCCAAAATATCAGAATTTACTTCAGTTGTGATAATGAAAACCCACAGACCATGAAAAAGAGACCAGTGGTTCTAACTTTTTGAAAATTTTGGAAACCTTTCTTTAAATAAAGCTTTAGAAAAAGTCCAAACAAGTATAAACAAAAGCAGAGCTAACCTGATTTAAAAAAAAAAAAAAGTGGGCTGGGCTAGGTGGCTCACGTTTGTAATCCCAGAACTTTGGTAGGCAAGGCGGGTGGATCACAAGGTGAGGAGATCCAGACCATCATGGTGAAACCCCATCTCTACTGAAAATACAAAAATTAGCTGGGTGTGATGGCCTGTCAGTTACTTGGGAGGCTGAGGCAAGAGAATCACTTGAACCCAGGAGGCGGAGGTTGCCGTGAGCCGAGATCGTGACGCAGCACTCCAGCCTGGGCAACAGACAAGACTCTGTCTCAAAGTAAAAAAAAAAAAGAAAAGTAAGAATGGGACAGCTTCCTGTTCCCTGTTTGTTAGTCCTTCTCTGCCTGCATCTTAAAATACCATTATCCTTCCCTCAACCAACTCCTCCCCACCTACAGAGCAACCCTTGAAGACAACAGGATGAAAAGGTAAAGTTAAAGTAGTAAAAATACCTGCTTCTCAATCACCATGAAGAATATTACCATAATAATGTTAATATACATTTTTTCTAAAATAAAGAATATCAAATATGTAAACTAAAATTTCTATGTGTGCTGCATGCTTAGAAATCAGCTGCTTCTTTTCAAGGAATCATGAGTTGCCATTATTAAGAAAAAATTCAAGACAGTGAAATGCTGTTATCCCCAAAACATTATTCCTACTTATAAGAACAAAATGACTTACTATTGTAATGCTAATAACAAACTTCCTCCCTCCTGTCTAGGATATCCATAGAAAGTTTGTTCAAATAAAGATGTTTTGCATGGTTTTCCATATAGACTTTCCCCTCAAAATCCTTAAACAACAATAAAATATTCCAGGACAGGAAAGGCTTAGGTGATCTATAGCAGGGAAAACACAACTACATAAAATATTTCACCTAGCACTGGAATGTTGAAAGCATCCGATTTTCTTTACTAAGTTATATTTCAAATATTCATCAAATTGTGAACACATTTTACATGCTATGTTCTTCCAAAAATACACAAAAAGGATCTAACCACTCCAAAAATACACAAAAAGGATCTAACCACGAACAATTGTGTCAGAGAGAAAGTTCATTTCACTATTTAAAATCTGAAATCGGAAACAGTTTAAATATAATATTTTATTGTGTTAATTTAGTCTAATTTTCAATTTATTATAGTTACTTCAGTTCTACTAAAATACAGACTATCGAAGTTAGCAACCAGATCAAAAGTAGTATCTTTGCATTCTTTGCCTAACCACAAAAAGTAGAAAAAAAAACACCATATAATCAACCTAAGAAAGACTATTTCCAGCATTTTAAGGGTTTCAAATCTAGTAACCAAAATGTTCCTTAGGACCTGGGCTGAGTCTTCATATTATTATTTCTGAGTTAACAGAATAGAGAACATGTTACTTTTGACTTTTGTAATCATCAGTGTATTAAATAATTCCTTTCCAATTTTAATTACAAAAATGTAGGAATTCTTATAAATAAAACAAATAAAGCCTACATGGACACATATATCCCTTTACTTTTTACATTGTCTTTTATACAAGATACCAGTTTATTTATATTTCTTAAGGAAAATCTAATCATGTGAAAGAAATTCATACTTAGCAAAATTGTATTGTTCACTACGGAACTTACAAAGGTAATAGTATTAAAAAAAAAAAAAAAAAAGCAGCCAAACAGTAAAATATGCCAATATTATGTCAGAAAACCAATTCACCATTGCAAGGAAGAAAATCCTGAATATAAATTAAAATATAAATTAAAAAATGGCGATTTCTAAAATGTTTGAATGCAAATAAGAATAAAATATTCAGTAAATATTACATTTTGCCATTCTGCATGTCTGTCTCATGCTTAAAGCATTTTATTTGTGGGCTCTAAAGAACATTTTAAAGAAATGACAAAAAAATTGAGTTATTCCAACTCTTCCTTTAAATAATATGAGATTAATTCAAAGTAGCAGATCTCCTTTAGTTTATAACTTTATTAAATCAGGTAGGCAAAGGCTTACAAAAGCAGTCATGATATTTTTGTCAGAAGTATTTTCAATTATGTTGATACATATTTGATAAGTTTGATATTTCACGATTAAAAATATTTTAGAAAAATAATTCATTCAAAAGCTATTAAGTCTTTGTATGCTCAGGATACCACTTTTTCTTTGTAACTGCATTATAATACAGAATAATTTTTCATACAAGTAAAAGAAATAGTAACAACTTGAAGATAAGATTATGCTTTGGATATACTTTTTGAAGAAACATAAAAACGTATAATAAAGTAGTACTATAAAATGCCCCAAAAAAATACAGGAAATTGTACTTACATCCACAGCTCTTTTAATAAATGGTATCTGCGTGCCACTGTCCAGATCTTCATTTATGATAAGTCTCCTCGCCCACTGACCTGCCCTGACAACACCACTACCATGAATTAAAACCATAAGTTTCTGCGGATTTGTCAATGCGTCCTCACTCATATAGATAAAACTCTTCGGTTCACTCTCAGTGGCATCTACCTGCAATTAAATACAATTAAATAATAAATAAATGTCTTCTGATCAGGCATACACATAAATGAAAAACAACTAACGGTTGTTATAAAGTATTAAATGGTTACTATGGAATTAAAGAAGTAAAAAACAACTTTAACACGAAATTAAAATATTCAGTAGAGACTAACAATTATGCATTAGGTGGATGAGCCAAGACATGATAGTAATTTAAATATAAAATATAAAAAATATTCGTAATATGCTTCTCTTCATTATTCTTGTGTATGTAGTATTATAGTACCACTGTAAATAAAAATAACCATTTTTTAGTGCTACCTACAGTCTAGCTGCTATGCTACCTGTTTTAAAAATATTATCTCAATCCCAGCACTTTGGGAGGCCAAGGTGGGTGGATTACAAGGTCAAGAGATCGAGACCATCCTGGTCAACATGGTGAAACCCCGTCTCTACTAAAAATACAAAAAAAAAAATTAGCTGGGCATGGTGGCGCATGCCTGTAATCCCAGCTACTCAGGAGGCTGAGGCAGGAGAATTGCTTGAACCCAGGAGGCAGAGGTTGCGGTGAGCCGAGATCACACCATTGCAATCCAGCCTGGGTAACAAGAGCGAAACTCTGTCTCAAAAAAAAAAAAAAATTATCTCATTCATTCACAACCCATTTAGGTGGTACTATTATTATATTAACTTAGAGATAAAGAAATTGAGACTTAAGACAGTTTAAATAAGTTGCCCATGGTCACAAAACTGTAAGTTTTATAACAGAATATTGCACAGAAATAATAAAAAATAGAAAACTGAAATTGGAGATAAATCTATTGAAAAATCATTTATCAGCCAGGAATACCACCAAATTGTTGAAGGGAAGAAGAGGACACTATTTAAAAACTAACCATCTATTCTATTCTTACCTGATCTATGTAAACGGACTTTCAAATTTCATTCAGATTGTGAACACAGGATTATATAACAATTATTTTTACAAAGCCACATTATTTTTTTTAAGAAGAGAAAGAAAAAGAGGGAAAAAGAGAAAAAGAGGAAAAAAGAAATATTACTTCATTCCTAAAATGGGTATCAATAATGGCCGATCAATATTTTGTGTGTTTAAAGTGGATAATATATACTTTGTGTGTTTAAAATGGAGAGCTCTATTGAGTTTATTTGTTCTGGATCTGAGTTCAAGTCTTGGATATCGTTATCAATTTTCTGTCTCGTTGAATCTAAATCTCATTATGGGTCTTATGTATCTGCGTGTTAAGATCTCTTATTATTACATTAATCCTTTTACCCTTGTATCCTTGTAGCTTTGTAATCTATTTTATTAATTGTGAGAATTGCAACTCCTGCTTTTTATTTATTTATTTTTGCTCTCCATTTAATTGGTAAGTTTTTTTCCAACCCTTTATTTTGAGTCTTTGTATATCTTTAGATATACTGTTAGATTTTGTCTGTATCTTTTGATTGGGGGATTTAGTCGATTGAAATTTAGGGTTACTGCCATTTGATATTAACTGGCTATTTTATCCTTTCGTTGATGTAAATTCTTCTTTATGTTAATGCTCTTTACTTTTTGTTGTATTTTTAGAAAGGCTCATACTGGTTGTTCCTTTCTATGTATAATGCTTCTTTTAGAAGTTCTTGTAAGGCAGGCCTGGTGGTAATAAAATCTCTGAGTACTTGCTTGTTCCTAAAAGATTTTATTTTTCCTTCAATTGTAAAGCTTAAATTGGCAGGATATGAAATTCTGGGCTGAAAGTTCTGTTCTTTAAGTATATTGAATATTGGCCCCCACTCTCTTCTAGCTTGTAGGGTTTCCACTGAGAGATCTGCTGTAAGCCTAATAGGCTTCCCTTTATGGGTAACCTGATCTTTCCCTCTGGCTGCCCTTAATATTTTCTCCTTCGTTTCGATCCTGGTGAATCTTACGATTATGTGCCTTGGGGTTGGTCTTCTTGAGGAATATCTTTGTGGTGTTCTCTGTATTGCCTGGGATTGAATAGTGTCCTGCTTTGCTAAATTAGGAAAATTTTCCTGGATAATATCCTGAAGAATATTTTCCAGCTTGAATTCATTCTCTCCATCACATTCAGGTACACCAATCAAACGTATATTAGGTCTTTTCACATAGTCCCATATTTCTCGAAGACTTTGCTCATTCCTTTTTATCCTTTTTTCTCTATTCTTATCTTGTCATTTTATTTCATTAAATTGGTCTTCGACCTCTGATATCCTTTCTTCTGCTTGATCCATTCGGCTGTTTAAGCTTGTACATATTTCACTAAGTTCTTGTGTTGTATTTTTCAACTGCATAAGTTCATTTGTATTCCTCTCTATATTGTCTATTCTTTTCATCATTTCATCGAACCTTTTTTCAAAGTTCTTAGTTTCTTTACATTGGGTTAGAACAAGTTCCTTTAACTCCCAGAAGTTTCTTATCATCCACCTTTTAAAGCCTACTTCAGATAATGGAACACAGTCTTTCTCCATCAGGACTTGTTCTGCTGCTGATGAGTCCTTTTCCATCAGGGCTTGTTCCCTTGCTGATGGGTTCTGATTTTGGGTATACTCGGCCTTCTTAGGCTGTTTTTTTCCCTTCATTGTAGATGAACCGCCTTTCTAATTAGGTTTCTGAGTCCGATTCTTTGATTCCCAGTGCTGGGATCCAAGCAACCCACTGTGGCAGCCTAAATAGCAGCGATAAAACTGATGGTGCTCTTCTGCCTGGGAATCTCTGGTCTGGCTTCCCTCTTGAGTCCGCAACAAGCGGCTCTGACTTCCTGGAGCTCCAAACTCCGGTCAATAGGGGTAGCAGTCCCAGGCGCCGGCAAAACTACTGCGGCAGCCACAAGAGTCGCGCTGGTGACCCGTGGGGCTCCTCCACTGGGAATTGGCTGATCCGTGAGTGACGAAAATTCGTCTAAAAGTGTGGCGTCGTCTCGTTCTCTGAGCTTTCACTGGGAGCTACAATCCCGAGCTGTTAGTGATTGGCTATCTTGGATCAAAGCCACATTATTTATGTACTCCGATGAACTTACTTTATAAACTAGTTACTTATGTGATAAAAAGTAAATGTTTTTATCCATTTTGATTGTATTTAATATTTAGATTTGTAACTATATGCTCTATGATTTACACTTGAAAGACACAAAACACTTTAACTTCCCAACCTTTTGTTACATATGCCATGACACACTTAGTGGTATTCCATATCAGCAGTGGTTAGTAATTGGAAATGGAAGCCTTTGGATAGCCAGATCAAGCCAGAAGTTGACATTGTAAGGGCTGGTTACACACCCTCACATAAAGAAGGTCAATCCACATGCAGTGTAATGAAATAGCTCTTCACTTTGTCAACTGCATATGTTCACACAATTATCAAAATAAAAAGTATACATAAACTCTAGATGCCTAAAAGAATACCCCGGATTCTAAGTATTCCCACTCATTATACTTAGGAAGAGAAAAATAAAATAAAATATCTCTACTTCTAAAACAATCAGGCTGGTTTCAGTAAGAGATGGCTTAGGCATTTGTGCAAACAGAGCACAAATGGCAATTATATCAGCAAGAGCAGCATGGACATGGGGCTTAAAGAAGAAATAACACCTTTTCATTGAAGTCTTCCCTGACTACCCCATTTAAAATTCCAAACATGCCCCTAAGAATTCTGTAGTCCCTTTCCCTGTTTTATATTCCTCCATGGTGCATACCATGATCTAACACACTGTATGCTTTACTCTATATTTTTGCAATTGTGTTTATTCACCACCTGCTCCCTCCACTAGAATATAAGTCTAGGCAGGCACAGAGTTCTCAGGTTTGTATCCACCTATAGTCTCAGTACCTGAAACAGAACCTAACATATTGTAGACACTCAGTAATTAAAAACAATGAACTTTTGGAATAAGGCATCTTATCAAGCATCAGCAGTGACTTCCTTTCGATAAAAGGCATTTAATGTTTACAATAGCAAAGACCTGGAATCAACCCAAATGCCCATCGATGATAGACTGGATTGGGAAAATGTGGCACATATACACCATGGAATATTATGCAGCAATCAGAAATGATGAGTTCGTGTCATTTATAGGGACATGGATGAATCTGGAGAACATCATTCTCAGCAAACTGACACAAGAACAGAAAATGAAACACCGCATATTCTCACTCATAGGCGGGTGATGAAAAATTGAGAACACATGGACACAGAGAGGGGAGTACTAAACACTGGGGTCTATAAGGGGAAAAGGGGAGGGCCAGTGGGAGGGGGAGGTGGGGAGGGATTGCCAGGGGAGAAATACCAAATGTGGGTGAAGGGGAGAAAGCAAACAAAACACACTGCCCTGTGTGTACCTATGCAACTGTATTGCATGCTCTGCACATGTACCCCAAAACCTAAAATGCAATAAAAAAAAAAAAAATCAATTGAGAAAAAAAAAAAAAGGCATTTAACTAAGTAACACATCCTCGAAAATGGTTATAAAACTTGCCTGGTTCAGAAAGCATAAACTGAAGATTAAACTAGTAAAAAATTACACAGAATTTTACAAGACCTGTACAATGTTAAAGAATTAAAATGAGATAACTATAATTTTATTAGCAATAGCTAAAAATACAGGAAGAGAGATATGAAATGTAACACAATCATATTAGCTTTACCTGCATGCTACGACCAGAGTAAACAAATTATAATGATGACAATAAATATGACTAAAGCCACACAGGAAGATAAGTGGATGACAGACACAGAAAAACCAAACCTAAGAAGAAAAATTCCCCTTTACCAAGAAACACATAGGAAAATAGAATTATTGCTCAGTTAAAGAGGCTAAAAAAAAAAGGCAATGGTGATAAGAACAAAATAAAAAATATTGAAAGCCAAAGCTGTCAGTGTATAATAAAAAAGAGGCCACAGGAGTTTCTAGTCATTCAATTACCAAAGAGTACATCTAATCACGCACAAAGAAAAGTGCTTCTTAAAGTCAGTGAGGCCTTAATGGATCCTGGAATGGCTATGGAGATGGATATCTACTTACCTTAATGAAAAAACCTGTAGCTACAGATACTCCAGTAGGTGCCGATCACTGTCTCTTTTTTTCCTATTCGACTAATCCCTTGTTACCAAGAAACTGAGTCAATGTTTTAAGCAATGAGATATTGCCACTTTGAAGTCCACGGTAATCACTTAAAACTGAAAGAGACTTATTTTCAAATGATAAAAATCCATTTTATATTAAAATGCTGCTCAGTGAAGAATCACTTGAGTCCAGGAATTCAAAACCAACCTGGGCAACATAGTGAGACCCTGTCTCTACAAATAATCAAAAATTAGCTGGGTGTGGTTGTGCGCACCTGTAGTCCTAGCTACTCGGGAGGCTGAGGCTAGAGAATTGCTTGAGCCCAGGAAGTCAAGGCTGCAATGAGCCATTACTGCACCACAGCACTCAGCTTGTACAACAGAGTGAGATCCTATCTCAAAAAAGAATAGAAGGAAAATGGAATCACATTTTTAAAAAAATGCAGTGGTGATAAGAAGAAAGATACAAGAGGGAAAATGGAATCACATTTAAAAAAATGCTGCTCAAGAATTTTTAAGGGTCTACAAATTAAAGTAGCCATGAATAAATAAAAGTTTTACTTCAATATTGAGAAAAGCTGACTTTGAAAATATAAGAATATCAGAATATTCAAGAAAAACAACAATGAAAATGAATTTAATTATTAAGAGGTAAAAGCAGTATTTTAGCTGGTCATTGGCTAATATTCACCTCAGTTTACACAGAACTCTGACTCTGTACATGAACTACAATGTACTGTCTATAAAGTTAGTGCTAATTTTAACTAGTAAAATATCTACATGAATAAAATAACTCTTCTTCATTAAGCTAATTATGTTTGAATATATAGCTGTTCCAAGGTCATTTATCTTCAAACAGTGGTAATTTATTAAGCTAAATTTTCATTAAAGAATACACATAAAGGTCTTTCCAGTGAACCACCTCAGTTTACTGACAAATCAACCCCAAACACCTTTTGGTTGGTGAGACTGCACCAAATAATTTTTAGCAGTTAACAATTCATTGTGGAATACTCACAAACACCATTAATTGCTGAAACACGATTATGTAATAAACTAAGTTAAAATTTGTAGTGAAGTTGTTAATTCATGTCTCCATCATTCTGTACAAGTATGAGATATTTCACTATAATTGAGAACGCTTTATGCCTATTTATGAGAGGTGTGAACTAAACATAAAGCATGATCATAATGTTTACTATCAAATCATGAGTTCCACAAAGTGCTATCATTTAAAAGATGGTTCTTTTTTTTTCTTTTAAAATAGTGTAAGACTAAAAGAGTTCATCATCAGGAAAAATAAAGGTTTGAAGGTACTCTTTAAGTAAAAAGAACAACTATTTACACACACACATATACACACACACTCTGAGATTTAAGAAAACTCAAGAAAAAAATAATAGCTATTAAAAAATAGTTGTGAAGAAAAATTTCACAACTATACCAAATATGTGATAATTTAAAGGGAGATATTAATTTTTTAAGACAAAATTTAGAGTTACTTTATAAGTTTATTAAATAAGGGATACTTTATTAACCAAAGATGGGCATGAAGTTTACTTTCATATAAACGTAATTGGCCCTTGCTTATTAGCTTTATATTCTAAATTTAAAATCAAAGGATAATCAGGTTCACAATACAAAGTCCTCTTCCATCTAATTTCAAGTTTTCTATAATGATAAATAATGAAAATCACATAATGTGATCTACACAGCCAATTATTTTGATATTTGTTCTAGAAATTTGGAGACTGACGTGAGTTTAAGGATTCCATGGAACTAGAAGTATTATAGAGTTAAAGGATTGAATATTAATTGTGCGGTATCAATAAATTAACCTACAGCTGTTTAAATATCATTCTTCAGAAACTGTGAAAGAAAGAAAATGAACAAGAAAGGAAAACTACGCAAAGTGACAAAATTCTAACCTGACTTTCCAGAAGACCAAATTTCAATATATAGTTTTAATGGAGTAAAATGCTAGACCTAAAGTCAAAACTAAAACAGTAAGTCTAAATACAAAAAGGATGGGCATATCCATTCCCAGAAAGGTACTAAAATCTTGACATTCAAGTGTTTCTTTAAAGAAATAAGTTTCCAATAAACCAAGGGTTGATGTAGCTGTTACACAGAATAATATTTTATTGACTAATCGATCATAAGCACTTGGGACAAGGTCTAGCACCTAAAAAAAAGTTAAATAAATCTATGTTGAATAAATGAATAAATGAGTGAATGACTAACAATGTGTTCTTTCACTCGAGGTTACTTACAGAAAATTAAATAAATGGGTTTCCTTTAAAAAAGAAACTAAGGAATCAGTTCTGGAGAGGGACACTATTAAGAAATCCTCAAATCCTCCATTCATAATAAATAGCCCTATCCAAGGAATTTTTAAAACTCATGCAAACAAAATCATCTATATGCAAAGTGTGGTGCCTTAAATGAATTACTTTTATCAACTCTCCCACATTCTTATATATCAAAAATCATAAAGTTGTCAGGGACAGCAAAGATCCTCCAATCTAGTCCAACCACCATTTCACAAACATGATTACAATCTCTTAATTTGAAAGCTTAATATTTTGTGGTTTACATTTAAAATAACAGGGGCTTGTGTGTTTTTTGTTTTGTCTTTTGTTTTTTTTTTTGACAATTTGAGTCTGAGAACAAATCTCAAACTTTTTCACTCTGAAACGGCAAAATGTGCAAAATTCAAAAAAATGTTCTGCCAAAAAGGGAAGGAGCAGTGTTATAAAACAGGAAGCACCAGGAATGAATTTGGGAATGTGTAGAGGAAAGAACATACTATGTGTAGAAATAAGACATATTTTTAAAAACCAAGAAATATTTAAAGAGACAGTGAATGTCTAATGTAACAAAAAGTATACTGGTTTATTACAAATAAATAAAAATAAATTATTCCAATTAAATGAGAAAGGGTACAGAAAATGGTAATCCTTTTAATTGCATCATCATTTTCAAAAAGACTGGAAATCAGTATTTTTTCCTTTATGCTGAAAAGTATTACTTTATAAGAAGTACTGTGCAGAATGAGATGAGGTATACTAATAATCATTTAAAATTATTGATAGCACAATGGAACCTTAACATTTAAATTTATCACAATTAACTCAAAACAAAAGTTTTCTTTGAAATTAAATACTGTTTTACTTACAAATAAACATTTCATTTGAAATAAACATTTCTTTAAAATTTGACTTACTGGAATAGATATTTTTTTCAAATTACAATCCTTTTCCAGGAGCTCATATACATACTTCGTGATGATCTAAGTAGAAAAGAAATAACACATTAAGATGCAATGTCATCCATTATCAAAACTGATATAAATTTTGGTAAATTATTGCTATTGTTCTGAGTAAATATCTCTTCATCTTGGAATGCTTTGATACTATATTAAGAGACTACTAATTACCGATAATGGTTTACTTCCTGCTGTTGTATGAATAACTATGAACTTTGGTATTAAGGATTAGGGCCAATTAATACAGACTCACAAAAATATACATGACTTTCTCTTTTTCAAGGGAACACACTGAAAGCATATTTTCTTTTTTTCGGTGTTTCTAAAATTTTTTTCTCCTATTATTTTCCCATGGCACTATATCTAATATATTAATAGCACCTTATTGACTCTGAATCTCAACATCTCTTTTGCGTTCACTGAATTGAGGAGGAAAAAGTCAGAGGTATTCTAAATAGAAAAGGAAAACTCATCCAGAAAGTCAGGAACCAGTCAATATCACTGCTTATGCTAGGAAGAAACATAATTCCTCTAGATGTCCGTGTCCTAATTCCTGGAATCTGTATGTTATGCTACATATTAAAAGAACTCACAGATATAACTAAGGTTTAGAACCTTGATATGGGGAGATTTTCTTGGATTATCTGGATGGTGTATTTAAAGGTAGATTACAGAAGAACAGTGGGTCAGAGAGATGCAAAGTGATTCAACTGGGTGTTGCTGGTTTTCAAGGTGGAGGAAGAAGACAAGCCAAGAAATGTGGTAGCTTCTATAAAGTGGAATAACCTTCAGTGTACAGCAGTAAGAAAATGAGACCTCAGTCCTACAACTGCAAGGAACAGAATTGAGCCAACAAGCCTTATAAGCAGTAAACAAATTCTCCTCTAGATCCTAAAAACGGCTTGTCCACAACATGATTTTAGCCCAGTGAAACTCATACAGGACTCTGACCTATAGAATTGTAAGATAATAAATTTGTATTGCTTTAAGCCACTAAATTTATAGTAATTTGTTATAGCAGCAATAGAAAATTAACATACGATTTCTATTAAGGAAGGCAAAGAGTAAGGAAAGAGACATCTGGAATAAAAGCAAATATTAAATAGGTGGTACTAATGGGAAATTTTATTATTATTTTTTTTTGGAGACGGAGTCTTGCTCTATCACCAGGCAGTGCAGTGGCGCAATCTTGGCTCACTGCAACCTCCACCTCCCAGGTTCAAGCAATTCTCCTGCCTCAGCCTCCTGAGTAGCTGGGATTACAGGTGTGTGCCACCATACCTGGCTAATTTTTGGTTTTTTTTTTTTAGTAGAGATGGGGTTTCACCATGTTGATCAGGCTGTTCTCGAACGCCTGACCTCATGATTGGCCCGCCTCAGCCTCTCTAAGTGCTGGGATTACAGGCATCAGCCACAACGCTCGGCCTAATGGTCATTTTAAAGAGTGTTTCTCCACCCCAAAATGTCTGCTTATCTATGCATAAAACCTCAGAGAATAATTTTAGCAGAAACATAATTAAAAGTCAAATTTTATGAAACAAAATCAGAGGATGATTTTTTTTTAGAAAATTAAGATGTCAATCGCTTGCTTTGGTGCTGTATTCTGTAATTTAAAATAGATTCTTTATCCTGCTTTCTTCAAGGAGTCCAAAATTCTTTCTTCTACGTATATGCATTCATTTCATTTTAGAAACAGTATATTAGATGTATGCTAGAACAGCTTTATCTTCGCTGGTAATGGTAATTTCAAAAGCTATGATAACTATATTAGAACTAGGTAATAAAATGCTAGTTATTAAACTAATAGTATTCTTATGTTTCAACACAGAAGTTAAAATTATGTTCATTATACCTTCACTGGGAGGTAGTGGTACTGTAGATTTGTAAGAGTAAACTAAAAATGTGGAGGTTTGGACGGAACATAAGTATAAAGTTACATAATGACCTGCTGCTTTAAGAGAAATAGATTAAATAAGATTAGCAAAATGAGTGGTTTAACATTTCTGAAAATATCCTACAATCTATGAAATCACAAAATATCCTTACATTTGAAGTAACAACAAAACGAATCAAACTTAACTCAATCCAAATGAATTCTACCACCATGAAAAATATTTGAGACACAATCTGAGAATTAAAAAATTAAACACTACTGACCTTACAAAAAGAAAAAAAGCTGAACAAACTGAAAGTCAACAGCCTTATTAGATCCATCAGTTAATCCTCAATGTTTATACTACAGGATAATATAAAACAATTCAAAACTCAGAGATTGCTTATATTTAGCTTTGAAACACACAATAGGGCAAGTCTATATTCTGGAATTTGCAAGTTATCAAACCAAATAATAAAACTACATATTAAGAATTGGAGAAACACTATTTAACTTGCCTAATTTGCTTTGATCTCCAATTCCTTACTGTAGGAAAAAAGCAACCCTAGATGAAGTCATCTACCTTATAGGCAATTCTCTGTGTTCAGTACACTCTCCACAGCTCTAGTCATCCTCCAAGATACAGATCACATGTCAACTCCTTCAGGTAACTCTCACGGCCTCACCCTAACCCTCCAAGATATGGCAAAGTGTCCACCTCTATTTTCCTCTGGATATGACAAAATATCATTGTCTAACATACTACTCTAATATCTTTACCTGTCTCTTACACATCTACTTATAGAACACTACAATTTGGGTCTCCTACCTTTATTCCTTCTTGTATTCACAGGATACTCTGGCAAACAGAAGATAATTAAAATTGAATTCTCATGAATTCTCCTCTCTGTCCATCCTGTCTACATCTTTTGAAAAAGATATAAGTTTAAGATTAAAAAAAAAATTTTCTAATTGCTAAATCAAGGCTTAGGAAGAAAGCATCAAGGACTCATTCATTGCCTTCCAGATTGCATAGAATTTCAGACTGCATTTAGAAAAATCAAAAAATGAAAAAGATAATTTCAAAAAGGAGATGAAAAAGTATTTCTGTCCAAGTGTCATCTGTGTTCAAACGTTCACTGGGAGCTGTGTTTATAGATGGAAAAGAAAAGGCTTAAGAAGACTATGCAGGCTCTAAAATTATGTCTTCATTCTAATAAGAAACCAAGAAACTTCCATTTTCTGGTCTGATGGTCTTCCATTTTCTGGTATAAAGAGCTTGGAAGTAGGTACTACTGACCTTACAAAAAGGAAGAAGACAACAAACTGAAAGTCAACAACTCTTATTAGTTCCATCACAGAAATGAGACCACAGAGCAAACTGTTTCCCTGAAAATGGAGAGACAGACAGGCAGATATAAAGAATCAGTTTACAGGGTACAAAGCCTCAGGAGCAAAAGCCCTCAGCTGAAACCAGGACTAATGTAGGAACACTTTAAACTGCAATGGACGAACTACTAGATGGAGTGTGGACTAGCTTAACAGCTAAAAACTAGGAGGACATTCAACCTTAAGGGGGAGGGGACAAATTTTTATGAATTTTACTTCTAGGAGGGCTACGTAGGTTCTCACTATGAAGACTATATTAAAAACTCCCTCTTGTTTCTGCCAGAGGAAGGCAAAAAATAACCATTTAGAAATACTCCAGAGCTCTCTACTGTCTTTAACAATACCTGAAATAGTTCAAGAGGAACTATTTTACCAGAATCTAACTAACCTGGGAAAGAAAAAATGCCCAACTTGGGCTCACTTAAGAGATGAGACCTAATAGACGACTACAGAATATCTTTCCATCTACCCTAAGTTGTTACCACCCTATCAATAGAGTTCCTATAAAATGCCAGAAGATTGCAGCTAAAATAACTCTAAGAGTCAGGTCCTTTTTAAGGACCCTAGAAAAATCCAAAGACAACAGAGGAGACAAAAACAAAGAACTTAGAGGAAATTGTAGCCTCTGACATGCAGCTAAAGCAAACAGTAAACACAATCTAATGCCTAGCCAAATAAACATATAATCTCACACTAAAGACCTTTTCACTGGCTGGCACAGTGGCTCATGCCTGTAATCCCAGGACTTTGGGAGGCTGAGGTGGGTGGATGACAATGTCAAGAGACTCAGACCATCCTGGCTAACATGGTGAAACCCCATCTCTACTAAAAATATAGAAAGTTTTTGGGCGTGGTGGCACATGCGTGTAGTCCTAGCTACTCGGGAGGCTGAGGCAGGAGAATTGCTTGAACCTGGAAAACGGAGGTTGCAGTGAGCCAAGATCGTGTTACTGCACTCCAGCCTGGGCAACAGAGGAAGACTCCGTCTCAAAAAAAAAAAAAAAAAAAAGAGAGAGAGAAACAAAACCCTATTTACTTCATTTCCTTTCACCTGATTTATCATATCAGGCTTTCAACAAGTAGTTGCCAGGATGCTAAAAGGCAATTACAAACAAAACCCCCAGGATCTATAGAGAAAACAAAACATCAGAACTAGACTCAGATATGGCAGAGATACTGGAATCATCATACTGGGAATTTAAAAGAACTCTGATCAATATGCAAAGGGATTTATTGGAAAAAGTGTACCACATACAGGAACAGATGGGTAATGTAAGCAGAAACATGGAAACTAAGATACAATCAAAAAGAAGCGTTAGATCAAAACCACTGTAACAAAAATGAAGACTACCTATGAAGAAGTCCAGTGTCATTTAAAGAAACACTGGAAAGAGAAATCTACTACACTTGACAGTTTTCCTGGATTTCTTCTGATTCCTAAGAAGCTACCATAAGATAAAAATTAAATGAATTCACAATGGAAAAAAATAGAAAAATAATTTTGAGGTTAAAAATTCATGGAATAAATCTGACTACCAATACAATAATGCTCTCAAGAAATTAGAGTCTGACTCAAATTTTTCTAGCTCAGAGTTTCTCCATGAAGTATAATAAAAATCACTTTTCCATGGACCAATTCCAAAAGAAGAGTTATATTCATCCTACTGTGAATTTACTTTTAATATTTCTGAAGCACTTACTATATGCCTATCATGTTCCTCATTCATCTCAGCAATACTTCTGGTCTTTAATTCGATAAGAA